ACCTATAATCAATATATACTCCAGGTACCTTTTTTTACCTATAATCAATATATACTCCAGGTACCCAGTTGTAGATAGGCACTTGACCAATGCAAGAGCTGTGGAGAAGAAATCCGGTCTTGTCGAGAGTCGATGGTTAGTCGTTTGGGCTTGACACTTAGGCAGTTTCCGATTGGGGCGATGCCAATATTGTCAAATTTAACGGTACCAAAACGTTCTTTTACCTGACTCCGACATTTCGTGAGTCGTGATTTATCCATACCGATAGCCGACCGTCTCCAGCTACTTGAAATGGGCCAGGGGGCCTACCACAACCTAAAACAATACTACTTTAACCTTACAATGACTTTTCGTATCATGACGCGCATAAAGTAAGCTTATTATAATGTTAAAGCTATAATGTCTTATTGGCAGCTTTGTGACCAATTATTCACTCAGTTCGTATTATGACGCGACTTAACATTAAAGTAATGTTGTTCTTAAGTCAAATTTAACAATCTTAAAATAGTTACACGGATGCAATGCAATGAAAAAAAAATGCAATGTCTTAATATTGATTTGTAATGATTATAATAATTATTATTTATTTATTTTCTCTCAACATACAAGGTAAATTGTATAAATGCTTACTGACTAATAAGGTTCTACATTAAACCTTAGTTGCGAGAGACTTGTGCCTGAGATAGGCATAAAAATGCCTGTATTACAGGTCACCAGGACCCCTTTCTTACATTTATGTTAAAATCAATTTTACGTAGATTAGGTAGGTACAAGTAAATCAACAGTAAAATGGATTTAAATGCTAAGTTGATTAGATTAGTAAATTAAAAGTTAAGTTAAACTTATTTACTTATATATCGCACTGCCATGACAATAGTGTTGTAATTCAAAATATGTGAAATTTGATATTATATCATTACTTAACGTAAAATTTGATTCTCTACACGTGAAAAAAAAACCGTCGTTAGAATATTGCAAGAAACAATTAAAAGATATCGACTTAACTCAAAATGCGACACACTTTATGTGAGCTAGCACTTAAACGATTACTTTGGCCAGCCAAAGTAATCGTTATTCAAAAATATGAAATTACTTTTCCATTTTATTTTTAAATATATTTGGGAAATTGTTTAAGTGTCTGTAATTAGCTATAACATATACACAAATTTTAATTATTTTTTGCCGGAAGTAATTGGTTTTTCATCGGTTCTCAAAAAGTCTACTTTTTGAGTTAATACACTATTGTATTAACAGTGCGATATATCTCTTCAATATTTTGTTTATTTTTTATTTAATAGTACATAGCAAATAATTTCTCATAGGAAATGAAACTATTTTTCCGGATTTTAATACCTCAGTCAAACGTGACCATGGGACCTGTAAAGGGCCCGAAACGTCGGTTTGTTTGAAAAAACAATTTAAATCCGGAAAAATAGTTTCATTTCCTATGTGTAACAATCGTGAAAACCTAAGAACTCGATAAATAATATCTCGTTGAATTAAAAATATGCAATGTTTATTTCGTAAAATTATGACAGCGACATCTATATGCTCCTTGGCGACACTAACAGTTGACAATCACAGACCACTGGTGACAATCAAGACTTGTTTTACAAGTAAATCAATGTAATACCTTGTAATACCTAACAAAACGTGTATAGGTACAAAATCTTCGCAGCACTACACGTTGACTCCGAGAAAACGGATTAAAATCACCCAACAATTGACGTAAATTTAACTATATTATGGTTACAAAAATTCATTTCTATTCCCTTCCGCGGTAATGTAAATTAAGTCTCAAACTTCCCAAAATATTTATACTTATATCATTTTAATACAACTGTATCGTTCTAACCTAAACGTATCATATTCTACTATTATAACGGCGGCGGCGTGCGTTCACGTAAATCACTGACTACTAACTATATTTATGATATTAACTACGTAGCTGATACACGTGACCAACGGCGATCCTTCGAACAAGCCTATAGTGATAATAGCTGGACAACATGCGCGGGAGTGGATTGCCATTACAACGTGTCTTTACATCCTCGACAGCCTTGTCACCAAGTTTGACAAACAGCCGAAATATATGAAGAATAAAGATTGGTAAGTTTTGTAATATCCATCTAAACTAGCTGACTGAGGGCAGGCCAGCACTAATCACCGTTAATGTTTGTTTTGGCCACTGCCTTACCTACCGCATTAATAGTAACATTTTTCGTCCTTCGGGACAGATCAAGGCGTCTGATTGGCCGTACTCCCAGATCTTAGTTTATAATGATTCGTCAATAGTCTAATTTTGTGACATTTTTTCGCATGTCCTTACGGTCCATTTTGAAAATTATTCCTTACCTCATTGATTTGTTTTTGTTTTCTTTTTTTTTAAATCCCGCAAGGAAACAAATTTCTTAATTTATGCATAAGATAATGTGTAAAGTCAAAACACAAAATCAGGCACTGACCGTTGCGTTAGAAAAAAACAGCGTCTTTTTGTGCTTACAGTTTTTTCACCAATAAATTTTTGGTTCAAGTACTTATATATTATTACGTGTTAATTTTGTTAATTATTTATTATCTTTTTAAGCTAATGGCGTTATAGCCAATGATCAATGAATAAATAATAATATCTATAGCTCAAATCCGCCAAAATTTTATAAAATAAACTTATGTGTTTATCCATATTGCGTTCATTAGGTACATAGTTCCGTTGGTGAACCCTGATGGCTTTTTATACACCACGTATGATCGTATGTGGAGGAAGAACCGCCGCGTGATAGATCACAAGAGGAAAAATTGTACCGGGGTAGATCTTAATAGAAATTGGAAGTAAGTTTTACCAGTAGATACCTATTATATTTGAAATTGTTGAATGTTTAATACAACAACGGGACATATATCGATAAATTCCAGTGTTGGGCACGGATATACTCAGAGACATTATGATAAATAACTCGATACAGTCACGTGCACTGGTGCGAAACCAAGTAACGAAACTACGATCATTTGATCGTATCTATCGTTGTATCTAATATTACTTAAATAGACTATTTATGTCTTCTTAAAAGATGTTTTACAGGAATATGTAGGTACTGTGTTCGAAAATCAACATGGACATTCGCTACAAGTGTAAACATTGTTAGAGCCTTAGAATAATAACGCATAGAAACCTAGCCCGCACACGCTAAGTGAGGCAAGTTAGAGGGTTCCAAACGCGTCCCAGGAGCGCGCGGGCTGTTAGTGCTCAAGGTCATATTGCACCGCGAACAGCTCCAAAATTTTTTGCTAAAAATGACGAAATGTGCGGTAAATGGGTGTAAAAATACAACAGACAAACATAAAATAGACACTAACATCGCATTCCACAAGTAAGTAATGCGTTTCAACTCATATTTTTATGTAAATATTCACTAAAACAGAAAAATAATTTCGCGGCAACAAGATACGAAAGTGTTGCAAAGTAACGAATTTTTTTTCTCCCCTTTTAGTGGTGCCTGTAATTTAGATTTATTTGCGCATCTTGAACTAATATTTACTTTAATAAACATTAAATGTTTTCGTTAACTCCTGTAAGTGATTGGGACACTTAATTATTTTATAATACTTTTAACGGCTCTGCGTTCATGCTTTATTGAATAATTATTTCTTTTAATTTTATTTGAATAGGAGCACATATTGCAACAAATTTACAGTATATATTTGTTTCTACTATAGTGTTGGCACCACCAGTACAACTTTGATAGCTTATTAATTATGTCTTTATTTTCGTAACTCAAGCGAAATATTTTATATTGAAATATTTTATTTTCTTAAAAGGGGAGCATTCTTAAGCGATTTTTTAATCTATTTTAACAGTTATTTTCTTTAATGTTTGCTTATGGCATTTTCGGCTTTAGGTTTCGAATATGGCACTTATTTCTAAATCCAAGATGGCGGGCGCGATTTTTCGAATAATGGCAAGTTGGGTATCGTTTTCGAGATGTTTGGGAATGTTCAATACAAATATGGCACTCATTTCTAAATCCAAGATGGCAAACACGACAGTTCAAACAAAAGCAATATTCGTAATGAGCACCCCCAAATACCTCGAAAACGATACCCAACTTGCCATTATTTGAAAAATCGTGCCCGCCATCTTGGATTTACAAATAGTGCCATATTCACATTGAGCATCCCCAAATACCTCGAAAATGATACCCACATAGCATTTTTTTGAAAAAATCGTGCCCGCCATCTTGGATTTAGAAATGAGTGCCATATTCGTAATGAGCACCCCCAAATACCTCGAAAATGATACCCATATTGCATTTTTTTGAAAAATCGTGTCCGCCATCTTGGATTTAGAAGTGAGTGCCATATTCGTAATGAGCATCCCCAAATACCTTGAAAAGGATACCCATATAGCATATTTTGAAAAATCGTGTCCGCCATCTTGGATTTAGAAATGAGTGTCATATTCGTAATGAGCATCCCCAAATACCTCGAAAAGGATACCCATATAGCATATTTTGAAAAATCGTGTCCGCCATCTTGGATTTACAAATAAGTGCTATATTCGTTTTTCATCGACAAAACCGAGCATATCTGTAGGCACCTGATCGACATTGTCGATCGACAAAATCGAGCACATCTGTAGGCACCTGATCGACAATGTCGGGCAAATCTGTAGGCACCTTTAACTTAATGATGAGTTAAGCAAGATACAATTTCCCCACTTTTGAGGGAAATGTTATTCCATGGCATCATTATTTGTATATTTGTGTGCGTGCCGACGAGCGTAGTTACAAGTTGCTTACGCCTACATGAATTTGGTTTTTGCCTCACTTGTGACAGTTCGTTTGATATGAAACTATCATTCTATGCGTTATTATTCTAAGGTTAGAGCGTTCAAATGTAACAAAAATTAATTAAAAAAAAAGACTGAAGTGAAAATGACAAATCCGCACGTGTATCAAACGACGTTTTTTAATACGTTTGCGAAAAAACTACATTGTAAGCTTTGTAAGTAAACTAAACCAGATTTTTAAAAAAACTCATTTTATTTCTTTGTCTCATAAAATTTCTCAATTTGGCAACTGTTGCCAATATTCAGCCACATTAAAATTACTATTTTAGTGGTGCGGCGCGCCGCGGTCTCGCGTAATGCTCACCTCCGGTCATTGTTATTATACTCAATCAGCTATCTCTATGGAAAATATTTTGTTATTTTTAAATGTAACCCGTTGTTTTATAAAACACCTATGCAATTTAAACAAATAAGATGTTTGAATTTAATGACGAATGACTTACGTCACAAAGCACATAAATGTTAAATAAATATACAACCTCTTTAGTTCTATGTTTAAGACTTGAAACAACAGTAAATTAAAAAAAATGGAAAGGAAAAAGCATTAGTGCGAAAAATGTAACTTTCGGCACGATTGTGATAGTGTTGATGGATTTAGATAGTGTTGTTGATGGATTTGTAGTACGAAAAATACCACGTTAAGAGCCACTGTATTAAAAACGAATTTTACTCTCAATAGTTTTCAGACGAATTTCAGTTTAATGTAAAAGGGTCTTTGAAGCCATTTAAGCAAGGTTAACTTCATATGTTTAGTCGTTCTCCGCACGACGTCCATCCGAAACAATTACTGTCAAATAAGTAATACTCGACCATATTAAAAGACGTGTGATGTAAATGAAGCTTCTACTTCATATTGTTGATCGAATACTTAGAGGATGGAAAAAAATAAATGAAAGGAGCTGTCCTATCCACGGAATAAAATGTCCACCACAAATGGCGGATTTAGTGTTGTACCATAATCATAGAT